TTGGCATCATAACTACCCAGAAAGCAAGGAGCAGAAGTTGTGTGTGTGCAAATTCTGATCCTTTGTCATTGGGACGAGTGAGCAAAATTCAGTAATGAGGGGTATCCAATCATTCTGTCCCTGCCTGTTGTGAAATATCCAGATTTGATCTATGGTGGCACAATGGGAATTTTTTTCCATTGAAGATACTTAACCTTCTTCATATGACCATTTAAGAAATGTGCTATTTTATAATGTTAAGAAGTCTTACTGTAATGGCCTAAAGTCCAGAAAAATATTAATCTGCTTCTAAATATTATGAGAAGGCCTTATGCTTTAAGTGTGGGAAATTTATTTACAGCTATCCAAGATTAAAATCTACTTTTTCCATATTAAGACCTTGATCTCTCAAGACTAAGGCCAATGTGTGGGCACAGGTTTGTGCTGGCCCAAGTTCTTGTTCCCAGTGTCTCCAGCCCAGCCTAACTCCCTGTTTGAACAGAAACGGGGGGATTAGACCCCGTTGTTTCCCAGGACATCTCTGTGGTGTCAGGCCCTTGGCTGCAGTGAGTCAGAGGACAACACCCTCAGGAGCACAGGTTGTATTTTATTGACCTAAAATAGGTTTTGATTTGTGGTTTTGCCTTTTGGTGGCTCATGGGGTCGTTGCCATCAGCTGGATGCTGCTGCTGGTTCCTGTTGGTGCTCACTGGGTGCCAGGGAGCTGCTCCAGCTGGGGAAGAACAGGTTGGTTTGGGGAGTGGAGGCACAATTCTCAGTCCTTTATTAAAAGGGAGGAGTTTCTCAGAATCTCAAAGTCACTCAGGTTGGAAAAGCCCTCCCAGCCCATCGAGTCCAGGCTATGCCCAATCCCTACCCTGTCCCCAGCCCAGAGCACCGAGTGCCACCTCCAGGAATTCCTTGGGCACCTTCAGGGATGGGCTCTCCAAACCTCCCTGGGCAGTTCCAGTGCCTGAGCCCCGTTTCCATGGAGGAATTCTGGGGCTGGCACATGCAGGGCTCTCCCTCCCAGGGCTGGGCTCTGCTCAGGGCTGGCTCCCCAGCACGAAGTTCGGCCAGGAGCATCTCCCCAGGGAGGGTTGGCTCGGCACAGGTGCCAGATGTGTCACCTGAGAGGTGCTCGACACACCTGTGCCAGTGCAGGAGACACTCGGGGCTGTCACTGCTCCAGGGAAATGGGCTGGAAGAGCCTACGGGAGAAAACAGTTATTTGCTTGTCAGGGAGAGGGCTGAAGGGTGTGGGTTGGCTTGTCTGGTAGCTTATCATTATTCCTGCTGATTAATAAGGTGATGTTAAGTTACAGGAATTTGCAACAACTTCGGGCAAAAGTCAGGATTTTAAATCAGGGTGTGTTTAATTAAGTAAAGCAAAAGTCAGTAAAAATAACTCTCCTTTTCAGAGTTGGCAGTGACTTTAATTTACTTCCAAAAGGCTGAAGATATGTAATGATATGTGATCTATTGCTAAGGCCAAGCCTGTAGTAATGCTGATTTAGTGTAGTAATGCTGATTTAGTGTAAAGAATATTTACGTGCATTCTCAGAACTTGGCAAAGGAGAGTTAAAAAATAAAGATTCAAAACTATGTCAGCAGCCCATATGCTGAGTTTAGGAAATTTGGAAGAATTAACCAATATATTTATTGGAAGTGCTTTCTTCAAAGTTTGCATGGAAATATTTCCAAACAGCTTGGAAGATTTCAGCTTTTATGCTGCTGTACTGTGTATTTTCATGGGACAGGTCTTGGTCAGGACAAGTAGCAACCAGAGGTGATGTCAGCTCAGTGCCAGGCTTCTGATGCTGGGGGTTTTTTTGAAAATAAATACCCCTGGGTGTTCTATCAGTCAACTTTCTGTTGGTTTAGCAGTCTGGTGAAAAAATCCCAGCCAAACCGTTGATTTAATAACTGCATGCATGGCTGTAAAGACTGCTTTATTTTTTAATGCCACAAATAGCAGAACCTTGCCTGAAAAGTTAAAATCCATCAGTGAATCTAGGAAAGAATTATCCCACAGCCTCAGCAGAACAGACTGAAGTCAGACACTGCTTTTAACCAGGTTCCCTGGGTGCTGAAGCCTCGGGGGAATTCTCTGGGAGCCGAGTCCATACCTGGAGCTGTGCAGGGCAGGTGGGAGCCAGGCTGGGCCAGGGCAGCAGTGTGGCCCTGCGAGTCCTGATGAATCATTCTTCCTGTCACATGAACCTCCCTGCTCTGCTAATAGGCACTTAGTTGAATTTTAGATGCCTGGAATCATTAAAAAGGCTGGAAGGCATTTGTGTACCTTGTCCATTAGAAGAAAAATATGTTTTCTATAACTGTAACCTCCTACAGCCTCGAGCTCAACTTCAGAAAGTAGCTGCATTTTTTGTGTCATTATCCATTACCTGAATTGGGATGTTTGAAGGCAGCAGTGAATTCAGCTGCTTTCTCCCACATGACATTAGTGGAAGAACATGTATTCCTTTTTACTATTGAAAGAAGAACCAGTGGTAGGAGTTAATATTCCACTCAATATCTGTGTCCTCTTTTGTTTCATTTCTTCCAGTGTTGTCACATGTGGTGCTTTCCTCCCCCCTTCCTGGTGACTGTGCTCTCAGGCTTTGCCTGCCTTCTTTCTTACAGGCATGAAGGGTTGAATTTCTGCCTCCCCCTCACCTGGAGGGCAGGTAACAAAAGGCAGGTGGAATCCAGAGTGTCCCAGCTGTGACAGAGCCTTTCCTCCTGTTAATAGACCAGGTCCTGCACAGGCAGAGGGAGAAAAGAAGTACTGAATTTTCATGGATAGACTGACAATACGCATGGTGGAGCATTTTCTGAGAATTCATAAACTACAAAGCCGGGGGAATCATGGAATCACAGAATGCTTTGGGTTATGACCTTAAAGATTGTCTTTTTCTACCCCTGCCATGTCCAGGGATCCAGGGGCAGCTTCTCTGGGCAGAGATTGACTCAAGCAGTTTGATTCTGTGTTTTCCTGTCCCTTCCGTTGCACCTCATGCTCTGTGCACCATGGTTTGGGATTTCTGGAGTAATGCTGTTTTTCTAAAACAAAATTAGAGCATGCTCTAATAGACAATTACTTCTCAAGTTAGTTTTCACTTCTAATGCCGAGCTCCATGTGGTTTATAAAATGAGGCATTTTTGTTTCTTGGAAAGTCTTTGAGAAGATGAAGGTGCCTTGCTGTGGTGGGAGCTGCTGCAGCTCCTCCTGCCCCTGCCCAGTGCCCTGGGGCTCTGTAAAGCTGCAGGTGAGGCAGGTCCTGCCACCTCCACCCCCAGGGCCTCACACCCCAGCATTGTTTGCTCTGCTTCACATCTGGCCAGGGAGCGGCTCTGGGGATGTGTGCTGCTGACAGCTGGGCTGGGAGCTGCTCCTGCCAGAACACGGATTAAATTTTCATCCGGATCACTGATTTCTCCTTCTTCAAGGAAATGGCTCAGTGTTGTCATGTGAGGACTTCTGAGCCACAAAGCTCGGGGCTGACCAGCACGCTTTTCTTTTTTCCCCCACTTATTCTGTTTAGAAAATGTTCCTGGGGAGCAGAGTGAGCTTCAGCTGCTGTGGAACTGGAGTGCAGGACTGTGGTGCTCTGCTGTTTCACCGCAGCTGGACTGGCAGACAGTGCTTCTGATTTTGTTCTGGTGCTTCTCAGTGTTGTTTCCTCCCCTTTCCCCCTCAGCTGACCCATTGGACCTGCCAGCAGAACCACTCACTGTCATCTGCTAAGACCAGTTAAGACTTTCACAGAGGATGTGGATATAGTGTGATGTGGAACAGACTATTGATTATAGACTTTCACTGGCACAGAGCAGCTGTGGCTGCCCCTGGATCCCTGGAAGTGTCCAAGGCCAGGCTGGGAGCAATCTGGGACAGGAGAAGGTGTCCCTGCCTATGGCAGGGGCTGGAATGGGATGGGCTTTAAGGTCCCTTCCAGCCCAAACCATTCTGTAATCTTTGATGTTAAGCAGCAAAAGGAGTAAAACTCCAAACCACAGAACACTTGGATAGCCCAGATCTGCATTTAGAAGCGTGAGCTGATTTATTTTCCCCTGATAAGATGTACAAATAAGAACATCCCCCTACGCCCTACACCCCCTGTGTTAAATGCTCAAGGAGAATGGCAACATGTCTCCAAAGGAAAAAAAGCAAAATATCCTGGATGGCTTCAGGAGCAGCTGTGTGGGATTGCGGGAGGGAAGGCTGGAGGAGACATTGTTCAGTGGTGATTTCAAAGGAGGGCAGTGCCTCCAGCTCAGCCCAGTGCTTTGGTCCCGAGGTGCTTCTTTGAGGTGAGCTGTTCTGCAGAACACCTTGGAGCTTTTGCTGCTGAGGTGGTGGAAAATGGAAGGAAGGGAAACGTGAGATGGCAGCTTTAACCTCCTTTCTGGCCTGGTCCTGCTGCCTCCCTGATGAAAGCTGCCATGGCACACCTGCCTCGTGTGAGTGGTGCTGGATCTGTGATAGCTCCTGGTTATTTATACAGAGCCTGTGGGAAGCACAGTGCACAAAATAAACCGGCTCCTTTTCAGTCATGCAGTGTGAAAGGTTGAAGGGAAATGGCAACATTTATACTTCTGTGCATCATTATGTAATGTATCCATGGAAAAAACCTTCCTTAGGAAAGGCACAGGCAGCAATGGAGCCTTTTGTTGGGTATCTCACAGCATTGCTTGGACTAAAACAGATGCAACTGCAGCTCCTAAGCAGTGTGAGCTGAGGAAGTGCCAGGGAAATGGAAAGGTACTGGGGAGCTGTGTGCTGTGCTTCGCTGGAGTCCAGGTGTGTGAGGAGAGGATTTAAAAACAACATTAAAACTGAGATGGAAGATTGATCATTTCAAGTGGGAATGCTTCAGAGGGAGGCTGAGCAGCTGCTCTGTGTCCCGTGGTGCTGCAGAGCAGTCTCCTTCCAGAAGAGTCTGTTGTGTGCAATTAAAGCTGTGGGGGTGATGTCAGAGCTCTGAGAACACCCCCTAACCCTGGTGTGTGGTTCTGTTCAGCTGCAGAATGAAGAGGAGCCGGGCGAGGCCGTGCCGGTGGTGAGCGATGCCCCTCCGCCCTACAGCAGCATTTCTGCAGAGAGCACAGGTACTCAGAGCGGGCAGAGGGCTGGGCTTGTCTGCTGCCACTGACTGCTCTCCTCATCCACAGCTGCCACTGCAGCCCCTTCCCAAGCTGCAAGGATCAGGATTGATCCACACAGCCTGTTTGTTGGTACTTGTGGTTTAGGAGATGCAATTTGGCTGCGTTCATCTGATGTCATCCCATCTAGGGGTGTTCAAGTTACAGTTCGCAGTGTTCTCAGTAAATTGAAGACAGTTCAAAATCAAAGTGCTGTGAGGGTTTGTGGTTCCCCTCTCATTATCTGGCATTTGGATGATGATGTGCCCCTTCCTTAAAGGATTGGTTACTTAAAAGGGTTTAAAGAATTCACTTTTCCTGTACTTTCCAAAAAGTACTTCCTAAGCACTTGGTCATAAGGATGGGACTTTGAATCATCCTCCTCTCCTGTCACTAATAACTTTAATAACCACTTGGATCTGGAAACGTGACTGTGTGTGAGTATCCAAGTCAGCAGAGGCACAGCATGTGGTGTTGTTTTAAGCAGAAGTGCAGCCAGACATGTTCAGGGAGTGTTCTGTGGGTTGCTGGCTATCAGAGAAGGTGCTCCTGTGCTTTTCACTTTCTGCTTTGGGATGGCTGGCATGGATGGAAGGGTGGGGAATGGGGCTCACTGGAGGTCACCTGGAGCACTGCTTGTTCCCAGCACGGTGTTCTTAAGCAAGTGCTGAGTTCCCTCCTGTGTAACTGTTTTTTGTGCAGCTTATTTTGACTACAAGGATGAGTCAGGGTTCCCGAAGCCGCCGTCCTACAACGTGGCCACCACTCTGCCCAGCTACGACGAGGCCGAGAGGACCAAGGCTGAGGCCACCATTCCCTTGGTGCCTGGCAGGGTGAGTGTCCCTGGCTGTCCCTGCACTGCTGGGTCCAATTTCAGCTTTAACTCCTGCCCATCATCTCCCTTGACTTCTGAAGTTTGTGTTGGGCTTTTTGTGTTTTTGCAGCTTTTTGGAGTGGTGACGTTCCACACTCCTGAGAGTCCTGTGGCTTTTTTCTTTTTAATTTTCCTCTGAGCACTGTGATGATGTCAGACATCTCAGCAATGCCAGCATGTGCTAGCCAGATTAGCTTGGCAAGCTGACAGAGGGGCTGTACTGTATCCCTGTGCTCTGACACTGGGGTGTTTGTTGGTTTTTTTTTTCATTTTTCAAAAAGATTTAGGATTAATTCTTCAGCTGTTTGGCATATCTACCCTTGATGCTCCTGCTGCTTACTTAGTTGGCTTTTTTGGAGGTCAGTGTAGCTGATACAAGCACGATAAAACCATTCTGTCAGAATTACTTCTTTTTGTCTTTTCAACATTGTCTCTTGTGCAGCCATTCCCTCCACCCCTGCTAGCATTAGAAGTCCACTGCTCATTACACTTCTTCACAGAAGCCAAATTCCTTGCTGAGATGATAATTTTTTGATGAGTTGAAGAATTCTTCACAGTGAGAACAAGAACATGTTTGACTATGTTAAAAATAAAGATACATTTCCTATTCTATAGATAACATTCCATGCCCTGCACCATTTCAGGATGAGAAATGGGAATTTTCTCGTGCTTGCATTTGTAGCCTTTTGAGATTTAGGATTCCAGCCCTTTTTTTGAAGAGTCACAGCATGAAGTGGGGTTGCTGTGTGGCCTGGGCTGACCTCAGTCCCCCATGTGCTGCCTCCCTGTGCTTTGCAGGATGATGACTTTGTGACACGGGATGACTTTGATGACACTGACCAGCTGAGGATAGGAAACGATGGCATCTTCATGCTGACTTTCTTCAGTAAGTACCTGATGGAATGAAGTTTTTTCCAAGCAGTGACCCAGAATACTTTGGGTCCCATTTCTGTTTATGTAGCACCAGGAAAAACCTGTGTGCCAAGGGGTTTATGGTTTTTTCCCTTGGAATGTAAAGATGTCTTGACCTGCTGCTTTTCTCCTGTTTTTCAGTGGCATTCCTCTTCAACTGGATTGGATTTTTCCTGTCTTTCTGTCTGACTACTTCAGCTGCAGGACGATATGGGGCCATTTCTGGATTTGGTCTGTCTCTTATTAAGTGGATCCTTATTGTCAGGGTGAGTTGTGTGGTGCAAAAGCACATCCACAGACACTGATACTCTTTTTCCCCAGCAGGTTTTTATGTCATACTGAAGTTAGTGATGAATCTAGGTTTTTTTTTAAAATAACGAAATTTTTTTTAGCTACTTATTCACTAAGAAAAGAGCTTTTCATAATTGCATCCTGTTAATATACTGGAATTACAATTGTAGTAAAAGAAAGGAAAGATTGTACACCCAGATATGCTTTGGTGATGCTCCATCCCTGAAATTGTCAATCCCTATTCCTGGGATAGTGGAAGGTGTCCCTGTCTGTGCCAAAACAGAGGAGCTGTAGGATCCTTTCCAACCCAACCCAGTCTGGGATTCTGGGGTTCATTCTGAGTGTGTCTGACAGTGTGGCCTGGATCAGAGTGTGGATTTGTGCTGAGCAGCAGCAATGGAAAATCCTGGGAAAACATTAACCCAGGCAAAGCCAGCCCTGCTTCGGCTCTGCAGCCTGCTGTGCCTTTGGCTCTCCTCTGGAAATAAGGAAATTCTCTAAAACGCAGGATAGCTGGTGAGGAGAGGGAAACAGGGATGTGGGGAGGAGCAAGGGCTGGAGCAGCAGTGGGAGAGGACCGTGGGTGCCCTCTGGTGCAGCCTCCCTGCGGCACAGGAGCAGGGACCCGGAGCAAGCTGCCATCCTGCTCTAAGTTTTTTGGCTCTTATATTTCTTGGAGGGATTGGGAGAAAATATTTCCATCAGGAAATCTTTATTTGGAGCCTGTGAAATGATGGTGCACAGACATTCCTGGCTGAAAGATGAATTTCAAGCAAAGCAGCTTGTTGGCTGTAAGTAGAAGTAGAGAGCATTAATGTCAGAACTGTCACTTCCTACCCTGTCTTTTGGGGCTGGGAATTCTAATTTGTAAATGCAGCATCTCTTCACTTTTCTGTTGGCAGTTTTTTGGTCATCTTGGTACAGAGGTGTTAAGAACTATTTGTTGGATTAAGAGTGGTGGCAAAAAGAGGTGACATTATTTCTGGGTTTGATTTACAGTAATAGGTTTATCTTCTATTAGGTTTTAAACTTGAATAGAGCAAACCCAGAGGAATGATACTGTATTTATACTGAAACTGTGAACTTCAGTGCTCTCACAGTGTTGGTACCCCTCGTTTTATAGCAGTAATTTTCCCAATTGGGAATCTTGTCAATGGGTTCCACAGATGTGGGATTTCTTTCCCAACTGTTACACCATCCAACCTGAATGTGTAATGAATGTGCTGCAAGCCTGCTCTGCCCTTTCAGAAACTGCAGCTGTGCTTTGTAAGCATCCAGGACACAATTTAAACCAGGAATATTTGCCAGTAGTGTCCTTGTGCCCCACTGATTGCCAGAGTTGATGGCTGGGTGTTGAGTCTGTCCCATTCCCCTTGTTAGAGCTGGTGCAGAAAAACTGTCAGTGACAGTTTGTGGATGAAACTCATTCCTGCAGCTGGTGAAATGCAGCATTCCATGAGATCTCTTGTGTGCAGCCCTGATCTGGTTACTGCTAAAATTGCTGGGAATAGATTTTGGTTCACAAATTTCCATGTGCTCTAAGCTGTATTTTTTTTCTGTTTTTCAGTTCTCCACCTATTTTCCTGGCTACTTCGATGGCCAGTACTGGCTTTGGTGGGTCTTCCTTGTACTAGGTGAGTGTCTAGGGAGGGGGTAAAGATGCTTAAAAACTCTGTAAAGTCAGAATTTTGTGAACATTCCTGGCTGTTAAATATGTGTGTGTAGATGTAAAGATGAAATGTGACCCTCATGCTCCTCTGACTGAACACATTCAGATTTTAAAGGCACGTGTAAACGCTGTCTTTCTGTTGCCAGTTCTTGGTGGCAGCATCCAGAAGTTAAAAAGAGAATAATGCTTGCAACTGATGTTGTGTCTGCTCTTGCATCCTAAATGGAAGAGTGGATTGTTGCCTTCCTCATTTTATTTTCTTTTTCCTTCATTGGGAGTGACAGGATCTTGTTTGAAGTCAAAAGTTTTATGATTGCCCAAGCAAAGTTTGTTTTTAAAGTTACCTGAAGTGGAAAGATGAGGTGTTACTGCTACCAGAAATAATTACTGTGTGTGATCAGCTGCTGTGGAGCCGTGCAGTGACGAGGTCCCTCTGTAGTGGTGGCAGGAGTTCAGTTGCTCCCTCTCCCTGAAGAAGCAACACCTGTGTTAACTGGACAAATGTGTCTCTCCCCTGCAGGTTTTCTGCTGTTTCTCAGAGGATTTATTAATTATGCAAAGGTTAGGAAGATGCCAGATACATTTTCCACTCTCCCCAGAACCAGAGTTCTCTTTATTTACTAAAGGTAAATTTTCTGCTTTCCTGAATTTGTTCTGCTTTGATTTTAACTCTATTTAGTGACTTTTCTAGGCTACACTTTCCATTGCTTGAATATTTTTAGAACTCAGGGAAGCAGGGAACAGTTGTTTCTTGGTATCCCCTACCCAACCCCTGAGTCTGCAGAGCCCAGATTGACCTGGATGGGAGGCAGAGGAACACTGCACATTTCTCCCTGAGTTTTTGCTGTGAGGAATTGGATATTCTTTTGATTCCATGCCTAGATACCGAGAGAACAAAACCCGTGCCCCTCGGCACTGCAGTGTATTTGGCAAATGTGTCTTTGAGAATAAATCACATGCCTGAAACACGTGGTGTGTCCCAAACCCGAGGAGAGGTCACAAAATGCTGTTAGAGGGGCAGTGCCTTTGGCTTGTGTCCCAGAACAAGCAATTTGTCTGAATTGTGCTGTTTGAAATTGCTGCCAGGTTCCTGAAGAAGTGACACCCTTGCACACCTTTGCTCTCCTCAGACCTCTTCCACACACCTGAGCTGAAAATCTTGCAAAAACCTGAGTGCCTGGGAGTCTTTTGCTTCAGTGCTGAGCCTCAGCCTGGCTGCTCTAATGGGGCTTTAAAGGAGGAGGCTTAAGTAGCTGAAGGCTTGTAGCATAATTTCCTGCTCACAGCAGATAATGGCCTGGCATTAACTGTCCCTCCCCGAGGGGAAGGAAATCCTGGAATAGGTTGCTTCCCAGCTGGGGAATGCAACATGATTCTCCCTTTAGAAATATCATAATAACACTCCATTTCCCCAGACAGAGGCAATTGCAGCTGGGACAGTCAAAGAAACCAAACCAACCCCAGCTTTAAATTGGGGGTCATTAAATTGTTGAGATTTGAAAACCGAGCCTTGGGTTTCCAAATGCGCTTCCCTTTTATTAGAAACTGCAAATTGCCCACGATTCTACTTCATTTCCAGTCTGTGAGGAGAACCTGCAGCACAGAACAGCCTTTGTGCAGTGTTTTCCTCTGGTGATAGTGTGTAAAAATAGTTCAGCCAATTCCTTTATGTGTTTCAGTTCTGTTTAACAAAGTTCTGGTTTGTGACATCCTCCAGGATCTGTAATATCCTCTCAGATTCCTGCTGAGTCACCAGAGGGTTGATTTCCCCCAGTTTCTGGTTACGGAATGTGAGCATTTAAAGTTAGCTTTACCTCTGTATTTTCTCTGACTGAACAATTTTTTTAAAATTTTGCCCTTTTACCAAGACTTCATTTTTTTTATTTCCTAAAGGAACTCTGTGGTTTCTTTTTGCACAGACTTTTCCTATGTTTGAAATTTGAAATTACAGTTTTAGAGACCTGGCTTCACTCCTTGCTTGTGGAGGTGTAGAGTGTTTGAATTCTTACTTATGTGTCATTTCAGAGCATTTTCAAAAAGCACTTTTCCTTTCATATATGCTGAGATAAATGTCCAGAATAATTCATAAACATTACAACTTCAATACTTCCTCTGAAAATAAATCTTTAATCCTGAATTCTGAGTGAGGAAACCACAAAAAACTCGAATTTTTAGTGTATTATTGTTCTTAGATGAGATTTCCTCTTCAGGGCGTGATGCAAAGGGCACAGTGAGGGGTTATTTTTATTATAGAGCGAGGATAGTTTTTAGAAAATTAGGAGGAGACTAATGAGTGCAAACCAGAAAATACAGCCTGGTGAAATGAATCCTGTGGAAAGCTGGAGTTTACTATTCCAGCTATGTGTGCAGTAACAGACACAATCCTGGTGTGATCCTGTAAAATACACACAGATTGCTGAGCATTTTGCTGGAGTCACATCATTGTGTGCTCAGACACTTCATAAGCCCTCAGACATCCTGTGCTGTGTGAACGACATCCTCCTGTTATCCAAAATAACCCTCTGACTGCAGTTTCGGTGTTCAATATCCTTCTCCAACAGATGTTTTCTGGCAAATGTCTTCCTGCATTAGTGAAATCCCCCCCAAGAAGCAGCAGGACACCTGCAGGAAGTGAATCAAGGCTCTGGAGCAGAAGAAAAAATAATCACCTGCTTTAAAATAAATAAATAAAAGTACTGTTGGAAAAAGAAAAAAAAAAAAAAAAAGGAGAAACATTTCTTTCTATTTGTTTTTAGGTGTAAAATTTTAATAATTAACGCAGAATTCTGTAATTGTTGACTCATTAGTGGCTAATGTTTGAAGCAGCTCTTGCAGTGAGTCTGTGGCGTGCTGATGAAGGCGTTCAGCCCGAGTTTGTGGTGCTTGGGCAGCGGGAGCCAAAGCAGGGCCAGCAGGGGCCAGGCTTGCTTTAGTTCCTCCTCCAGCCTGGGAGCTGTGCCTGTGCTGAGCAGGGTGTGACACTGTCCTGTGCATTGTGACACTGTCCTGTGCAGGGTGACACTGTCCTGTGCAGGGTGTGGCACTGTCTTGTGCTGTTTGACACTGTCCTGTGCAGGGTGACACTGTCCTGTGCAGGGTGTGGCACTGTCCTGTGCATAGTGACATTGTCCTGTGCTGTTTGACACTGTCCTGTGCAGGGTGTGACACTGTCCTGTGCAGGGTGTGACACTGTCCTGTGCATTGTGTGACACTGTTCTGTGCAGGGTGACACTGTCCTGTGCTGTGTGACACTGTCCTGTGCTGTTTGACACTGTCCTGTGCAGGGTGTGACACTGTCCTGTGCAGGGTGTGACACTGTGTCCTGTGCAGTGTCACCCTGTCCTGGACAGTCTGTGTGTGCTCTGTGTCCTGTACAGCCCATGTATCTCCGTGTGCTCTGTGTCCTCTCCTGTCCATCCCTGTCCATCCCTGTCCCCGTGTCCATCCCTGTCCCTCCCTGTCCCTGTGTCCGTCCCTGTCCATCCCTGTCCATCCCTGTCCCCGTGTCCATCCCTGTCCATCCCTGTCCATCCCTGTCCATCCCTGTCCCTGTGTCCATCCCTGTGTGTCCCTGTCCATCCCTGTCCCCGTGTCCATCCCTGTCCCCGTGTCCATCCCTGTCCATCCCTGTCCATCCCTGTCCCCATGTGCTGTTGGGGGTGGCTCTGGAGCTGAGCTGGCAGTGCAGGGTGGCTGTGCTCCTGCAATCCCAGCACTGGGGGCCTGTGGAGGAACAGAGCTTGCTGCAGTCCAGACTCAGAGGTGGCATTGGGAATTTAGAGGTGGCACAAGTATTAACTTTTAACAGTCTTTATTCTCGGTGTTGTAGTATCCTTTCCTTTCGCACCACCAACTGTTTGGGCTCTCCAGGGGTTTTCACAGAACGAGTCTGTAGTGTAAAACTGAAAGATCATGTTGCAACTTTGTATAAAAACCATCTTGCAAAACAAAGGCCTTTCTTTTTTCTTTGGCTTGGGACTTTTGAGACAATTCCTAACATACCTGTAATTCTTGCTTTTATAATTTGTGTTAGCAGAGACTCTGATGCGTTGGAAATGTAGATTTAATGTGCACTCCTGTGCTTTCTGCCAAGTGGTCATTCACTTTGGAGTTTTACTATGTTCAACCTGTAAATACAGCAGAATGTCAATAAATGTCACTTCTGTAGCGATTGTTGCTGTGGGACAATGTTTGTTTGACTTTTCATGTGTTACTGCACCTGGTTACCAATGACAAACCTGGAGTATCCAGAGGCATTCCATCACTTTCCATGGAAGGAGTAACACAAATCTCCAGGGTGTCCATCTTTTTTGTAATCCAGCTTGTCAGAAAATGGTGATTCCGTTTTGGGGGATTTGTTGGGTTTTTTGGTAGTTTCATGACTTAACCTGATCCATGAGACTGGTTTTGGTTCACAGCTGAACTTCTCAAATGTCCAGTCCCCACAAACAGTCAGTTGGGGCTGACAGAGATGGATAGAGGTTCCATAGATTCTTCTTTAAACAGGAATAAGTGAACACAATTAGGAATTTTATCCTACAAGGCAAAATCTGCAGCATTGGGGAACTCTGAATCACATTTGCCCAAACTTGGTCGATCAGCCTCGTGTTGGCTCTCCTGGCAACTGGGCCTTATTTGGGCTTGAATATCCAGAGAACTGGAATATTTGGCATTCCTGTTCCTCCTGCTGCGGTGGCTGCAGACACCTCCAGCTCCGTGTTCCTGCACACAGAGGCTCGAGGGGCGCGGGGAGGGACGGGTGGGTGACGGTGGCTGTGTTCGCTCTGGGTTCACACCAGGCTCCAGACTTGTTTTGCTTTTAAAAAAAACTCCCCTTAACAGAAGCTCTGTCAAGAAGGAAATCGGTGTTTCCAAAATATCCATCACCCCTCAGTGAGCTCTAGCGGGCCCTGAGCTGTAACCTGGGGTGTTTTGCCCTGGAGCATCCTTGGGGTGCGAGGGGCAGTGGCTGAGGCTGGGTGTCCCCTGCCTGTGGAGGTCACCTGGAGCGGTGTCACCTCGGCTGTGCAGGCAGCATGAGGGGCTTGGTGGGCCACAATGCCCCGTGCCACAGTCACACAGCACAGGGACAGAGTAGGTGGCAGCTCAGAGGAGCCATGGGAAGAAAAGCCCATCTTCGACCAGATTCTGTTTGTTTTTGTTGTTGCTTTAACCAAAGTGGCCGGAGCACGGTAATTAAAGGCTCAGTGGCTCTAATTGGAGTAGGTTTAAACTCGAGGTCAAAATCCCTTCTGGCACTTCCTCTGCCTAATAACCATCAACAGAAATCAAACAAATCCGAGCGGCTCCAGCCCCCAGTCTCAGCGGTGAAGGCGGTGGTGGTGATAAGGGAGCTCAGAGAGCCCCTCCGTGCTGGGGGACAGCGGGGCTG